AAATATCATAACAATTGACTCTGTTAATATCAAAGCGATATCGCATACATTGTTATCTATGCTTGTAGTATTGCCATGGCAGATATATCGCATATATTCATTATAATCATGTTAACAATAATTGAACGCCTACTGTGGCGGTTAAGTGGTTGTGGTTGTTGTTATTGTTGTTGTGGTATTTATTGCTTCATAAATTCGCGTGCAATACTTGTGATTAGCAATTAAATTGCCTGGCCTACACTAAAAATAAAAGTATAGCTGACAACAAGAAAAACAAAAATTAAATAACAAAAACAATAATTGCAAAAAAGCAAAAACAGCGATTGCTAAAATAATACAATTCAAGTAAAACACCTGTTTACATGGACTTCATACATAGCATACATGTGTACAAGTACACTTGTGTGCATTGTTTGTATATGTGCACTCATATGCACTCACATTGTTTGCGCATAAAGTGAACGGTAAATGATATTACATAAATCAACATGAGAAAATGTGCAAAAAAAAAAAACCAAAACAGAACAATGGGCTTGTCGAGTTCAGCTGAGTGATGGAAAGCTGGGTTGGTTGATAAGTTAAACTTATTATTGACAGTGCTTACCAGGCAACAACAATATATGCATATACTTTTTGTAATGTTAAGGTTGAAGTGAGCGTATATTTACATGAATATATGTAGGTATCGATGTGTATGCTAGACTAGGGAGGTGCTTAAGCATTTTATGAATGATTTTTGTAGTCTCCCTCAACCGAAATAAAGATACACAGGGCAATACAATTTTGACTAGCTTAAAAAATTTAAAAAACCGATAGGACTATGGTTGGTAGGTCTTTAATCTCAAAATACTATTATTTCACACACATACTGTTAAGTGTCATGTAAGCTGTGTGGTCTTGGAAATTTTGTTATGAAAAAATTTATTTCGGTAACAAATCAAGCAATAATATTGTAAAGCTTCAAAATTAAAATTTTTTTTTGCTTGCAACTTTGCTTGAAATTTTGTGTGTCCAATGGAATCACGGTTACGGAACTATTGAAAATGTTGCTGAAGTGATTTGGTTTGTTTACTTTATCAGAAACATATGTAAATATTTACGAGGCACAAAGCATTCAATGAAGGTCGTGAAGTCATTGGGCGAGAGATTCGTCCATCCAACTCTGTAAATGACGATAACATCGAAACATTTAAAGAAACATTGCTTGAAAATCTTCGTGTTGGCATCTGTGAAATTGCAGAGGATCTCAACATCTAATCTTTTTGGGCATGAAGCATGGCAAAGCGAGACTCGAACCAAAATATTCAGTTCTTTTACCAAAAGAACTGAATCACCCACCGCGGTGAATTTTTGTGAATAGTTTAAAATAAACTTCAATATTTCATTTTAAGCTTTCGTCCTTTTTTAACTTAAAAGAAAGCTATTTGTGAGTTCATTTTTTTTATTCCACGTTGTTATTTTTTTTCTTTAAATTGTCACTGACTATTAATATTTGAAGAAAAAATTTTTTTCTAAAAACCAAGATTTCTCAAGGTTCGTTAATTAGGTGCCTCGTTCAGGTTATTTTACTCAGTTTGACTACTTTTTGTGAGCCTTAGCAAACAATGCTGATATTTCAGTTGGCTACCAACATTCTGTGCGTTATTGGCGGTATATTACCGATTCTGCAAAATAAAAGTGGTAGCCAAATGGACCGACAAGATGATCTTCATAAGACGCATGACCGATCAAACACCGCACGTCTGAAAATGTTTGAACTAATAAAGCTAAAATTTAGACTATTTTATTTATTTGTCTGTATTTTTTTAAAATCACATATGAAATTTACTTCCAGAATCAAAATTTATTTAAGGACCACCTTAATGTACATACAACCGCGTATATACACATATGCTCACACGAAAAGCGCAGCGATTGTTCCTTGCAAATCCAAACAACATGCAACTAAATGCAACTATTTTTATAAATTTTTTTTTTAATTTTTTAACAACAGAACTTTGAGGCTAATTTTTGCAAAATGTCATAAATTATTTGTTAAATTATTATTTTGATTAATATGTTATTTTTTAGATCAAACAATAAATATAAGCCGAGCACGGGCTATTGTTCGGGCGAATAGAAAAAAAAATAAATTTTTTCTACTAAATATTAGTTGGCATACCAACAATTAACTGATGGATGATAACCGCAGGATAGAAATGAGCGAAAATACTTTGGGCGATCACTCTGCGTCAAATGCAGTAATGCGCTGACATTTGCAATGCTGCAACTTGCTCAATGCTACAGTGGCGTGCAGTGAACTATGAGCAAAAGCCAACTCAGTGGCAGTGGCATCGTGCAGCAACAAATAGAACAAGATTGAATGTAATTGAAAAAAAAAATACAATAATAACAACAATATACAAACATACACAGATGCATAATAAACGAGCGCCTAAGCTCGCGTTGATTAAAGCTAATTACGGCAAATGCCTGTCATTTGCACCGCCGCGCCCTCTGCTAGACGTCGCCGGCATTTACTGCGCGGCGACCTACCTCAATCTAGAACTTCGTTGCACGCAAGCGCGTTGCACTTGTCATTGCTTAAGTACGTGCGTGCATAAGTAGTCGCACATTTACTTACAAACACACATATATACAAATATACATCTAAGTATATGTGTGTGCGTGTGCACGCGCGTAATTAAGCGTTGCAAGCGCTTCAGTTGGCGTTTGCTGACAAATCAGTTGAACGTTTTAGTTGCCGATACTCGCCGTAATGCTGTGCGTTTAGTGTTCGCTGTCACGCACGCGTAGCCGCCGCTCGCTCTCATTCACAGAAAATACAGAAAATGTGGTTTAGTCAGCAATACAATTTGCTGGCTGGTTTTCATTTGTATTTGCTGTTTGTTGCACTTGCAACATTACGTCTTTTTACAACAAAAAAAGAAGAACATGAAAATAAAAACATTTTTATGCCCTGAGTTTTATTATTTCATGCGCAGTTAATTGTCTGTTTTAATTTTTTGCTTTTATGCCTAGCTGGTTTGACAACTCTGAAAAGTAAATGCCAATGTCTTAGAAATATGTGGCTTAGGCCTAAATATGAGTTCATTACTAGTTTATTAAAAGTGTGTTAAAAAGTCGCTGCACAGTGGTGACATGTGCTGAGAATTACAGTGAAAAATATTTCAGTGTAAAAATTTGCTTGTTTGACAATACTAATGCTGAAGAAGGCTATTCTAAAAACTTCAACATTTCTAAGAATTTTAGAATATTATGTTGGAATTTTATCGAAAAAGAAGGGACGTTTTAGAATTTGTAACCCCTAAACAAGCTAAAAAACATCAGTAGAGATAAAAGGAATAATTTTATGAAGAAGTATAACGATCAGATAGCGAAGCGAAGAAAACCAAACAAACTAAAATACCTCGGTTCTTACACCTTTAAACATCTAGGTAAAGTAACTAGGTTTTAAACAGTATTCACAAAGAAATGTATACAGCAGTTTAAGTGAGATCTCCCCGCCATCTTGGAAGTTGAGCCATCTAATCTAATCACACCGGAAAATAATAATTCTAACAAACACATCTTGCTTTGAGGCACACCAAAAGAAACACAAAGAAACTGCATGGTAACAGAACGACAAAGCAAGCAGAGACAGTGAAAAGTGATAAAATTTAAAAGACCTAAAGAAAACCAAGTGAGGAAACTTTATAGAAGTACATGGTGTTAGCTTTTTTCGAAGACTTATTTGTCGATTTGGAGTGGAGTTTTCTGTAAGGAGCTCTCCCTCAAGCTTAGCTTTAGGCTGTAGTTTTTTTTCAGTCCGAAGTGGCTGCTATTAAGATAGCAGTAGACTAACTCATCCGAAGTGCAGCTCCTTTCAGAGAGGTGAACATTCACTCCGCAAACAGAGCGGCAATACTAGCTCATTGGCCGCCTCAAGAAGCTTGTGATCGGTTAAAGCGCTTTGCCGATTTAAGATGGTTTTTATGATAAATTTTATAGGAGTTCTAGGTACCACAACGGACAGTCGTTATAAGTTGTCGAAGTGAGATCCCTATTCCAATCGACTATTTAGCCTAACCTAACCTAACCTTGTCGAAGACAAGACCGTTTACAATTTCTTTTATTCAAATATCCTAATTAAGACATATTCGAAGATTAATAATACAAGTATTTAAAAATATGGGTGGGAGTAAACTGACGAGTGAAAAAATATTTAATTAGAAAAGGCGGAATACTATATAAAACGATACCATCCGCTTGATAGTGAAACAATTATGTTCTATTATAATACAATCTTATGTAAAGACAATGGGCTAGGATGTAAAAGTTGTTTTTAATATCAAAGTTTAAGGTCAGCAAACAGTACAAAGTTTATTTAAAAATTTTTCGCTAACGTGTATACAAATAATTTTCGGCGATTTCGAATATTGGAACTTTTTTTTTAATAAAAGTTAGTAATTTTTTCAAAAAAATAGGGATTTTCTACACAAATATTTACTTTTTAGCCATCTGTGACTTGCTTTATTGGCTCATTTATTCACAGATTACCTAGTTGCACTTTGATTGGCAGAAACCTACCCCAATGAACAATGATGTGCAAATTGGTTTAATAACCAATATTTTGCAAGCTTGTTCTACGGTAATTAAATGGAGATGAGCAATTGAAAAGCGCGATCATTTAGCTTTAATTACGAGTTTAACCTTGCAAATGAGCACGGGTGCATTTAGTTTATGTAAAAAAAAAAAATTATAAAAAAATTAGAATTCATTTAAGAATTTCGAAAGTAGGAGATTGAGTTTATATAAAAACATATATTAAAAAATAAGTAAATCATATATGTTAAACAAATTTAATGAAAAAAGCAATATATAGTAAAAAACTTTATAGTTTCTAAATTGAGCACAAGCTTGATTTATTTTTGATTCATTAATCATTAATTTGGGTATTTGTTGGTTTGTTCGAAATTTTATACTTTACTTATAAAAAAATAATGTTATTTTGCACTTACCAGCGCCATAGTGGCCACCACCAAACCGAAGCAGAATGCAATTTGTGGCACCGATGCTGTGTACGTATCACCGCCGGTACAACTGCCTACACCGATGGCGACCAAGAAGAAGGTGCCCAAGAATTCGCCAATTAGAGCGCGCCATATCTTCTTGTTCTCTGTGATGTCACTGACACCAATAATTTTCGGAATGTCTGTAATGGAAGGGAAGAGATATATTAAATAATTTTTATTATATACTTGAACATATAATACCATATACATATTTATTTAAAATAAAAAAAAAAACTATTATACTCTGTAGCAACATGTTGCGAGAGTAAAAAAATTATAATTTGATTTGATATATAAAAAAATAATTTTTTTTTTAAAGAGTTATGCAAAATTAGCAGAAAGAACAGTTCATGCAGCAATCATTAATGAAAAATATATTTGCGTTTGTATAGGTGTATCTAAATATTCAAAATAATAAATTAAATCCCCAAGCACTATAGCAAAATATTTGTGTACGCTATTTGTACCTTAAAACGTATGTAAAATTAAATATATAAATTCATACTTTTCATTCTTCACTTCATTAAACCCACAAAATATTAGTTTGGTAATTTTTCATTTCATTTGTGCTTCAGAAGTTAGCAAAACAAAACAATACAACGGATTTATTTGTCAAAGTAATATTTCATAACATACGAGCACCAAAGTTATTAGGGCTAGTAAAAGCATTTTGATGTTCCGGCATTCGAACGTAAAATTGCTGCGAAGTAAATCAATCAACAAAGTCAAGATACTAGGCATCGGAAGACAATGAGTAGCGCTCTGCCCATAGCAATAACTAACTTTATTTATACAAATAAACAAACAATTCTTTGTGTATGAATACTTTTTTTCCGCCATAAATTGAAGCGCAAAATACCAAAAATATTCATATTTATTTTAACACCCGTTGATTCTAAGTGTTTGTTTTGATTGACAGGCGTGAATTTTGATATTTGTATAAGCATACCAAAACACACACAAATTTATTGGTGAGAATGTACAGTTGTTGTTTTTGACACTCGTTGCTAGCACACAAATGAAGCTGCTCATTTCTCTAATTTATTGGTGGGGAACTACGCGACACTTGATGTCTACAAATATGTCACACTGAAGTATGAAGTATTTGATTTATAGAATTTTGTTGCTCCATTTGTTTAAGATTCGTTAATATAAGAATGTACTTATGTATATTATATATAAAGCTTAAGACTATCTATTTAGTTGAACTGTTTATAAAACAAAAATATATATATAAAAAATAATAATATTAATATCTAAGGATATGTTTTCAAGAATATGACTGACGGGTAGTCAATAATCAAAAAAGAAATAAATCATATAGGAAAAGAAAATAAAACAAGAAAAAAACGTCAACTTCGGTTGCACGAAGCTAGTATAATACTTTCACAGGTGCATTTTTTATAGCATAAAAATGTATAAAAAGATTCGTATCTTGATTTTGATCCATCAATTTGGAAGTCAGCAATATGATAAAGTGGTCCGATCTGAACAATTTGTGCAGAGATTGCAGCGCTGCCTCGGATAACAATTTATGCCAAATTTCGTGAAGGTACCTTATGAAATAAAAAAGTTTTCCATACAGGGACTTAAGTTTTATCGATCAGTTTGTACGGCATTTATATCCTACAAGTATAATGGTTCGATATCGGTGGTTCCGACAAATGAGCAGCTTCTTGTTGAAAAAGAACTTTTGCAAAATTTATGATCGATATTTCAAAAACTGAGGTTCTAGTTCCGGTTTAGGGTATAAAAATCTGCAATGTTCATTATCGTTTATCAAAATTTACGGAAAAAGCGGATAAATTCAGTTAGTTAATAAAATAACTATTCCGCAATGACACCTATTCGGAGTGATGATAATCAGAGTTGAAATTTACATATTTTTTATTTCAAAGATACCACTATGTATTATATAATTATATAATTTTAAAATAATTTTGTATTTTGGATTGCTAATTTGATCAAGAATGCAAGTATTTGGTTTTAGTGCATCAAATAATAAATGTCATGCGATGCAGAAAATGTGTCTTAGTCGAGTTCAGTCACCGTAATTCATTTATATATTCCATTAGAGATAATAGCAAAGAAGAGATAATAGCCGAGAATATTAAAATAACTTATCAATAAAATCAATAGTAATTGGTTGATCGGAGACATTGACCTGGAAATGTATAGAGTTCAAAAGGGGCATACATACATTATAATAGAAGTCATCTAAAATACCATTATTGATATTTTAAATGTTATAAAGTGTTATGTCATTAATGGAATGTTGGAAATTATAACTTTATTTTTAAAAAGTATGCAATTAAATGATCTTATGAAAAGACAAATCAAGTATCACGAAACACAAAAATTAACAATGCAATAAAAACGATTAGAAAAGACAACGGTACAGATTACATAACCTATAAACTTCAAATAAAATACCAGCAATTTTTCTTTTCACTTCTCTAACGTTTCTAGTTAAGAAAATATATTTATATAGCAAAAAGCTATCCAGTCATTTAAGCAACCATTTATGCAGTAATAAATTCCAATAGTTCTTCTTAAAACTCCTTCCAAATAATGTCAACGTAACTAATCTTCTAATAAAGCTTTTGCAAACTGTAATTATGCAATTTTTTTAATGTTCTTACTTCGTCGCACTTTGTTTTTGTTTAAAAAATATTGCCCAAACCACAAAATCAAATATGAATTGTCATAAAAAATTCTGCAAGCAAATATTTAGCAATAATTTTTATGACATTGAATATTTTCTTACACTTTTGCTATCATCTCACTTACTTATCTTAGATACGAATACAAAAATTATTTTTACTTTTAGTAGCATAACGGTTATTAAAAATGGTTTCGAAACAAGTCGTCATAAATCACTTTCAGAATATGGAAGCACATTTATAACACTTTTTGTGAGATGACATATAAAAGTGTAAAGGTAGAAGTATATATACCATAGATATAGGAATGCAAGTGGTTATAAATAAATGTGTGCTCAGCGCAAATTCGTGCGTAATTAAATTTTTGAGATTAAGTAAAGGCTTTTGAATATAAAACGCATGTGAAAAGTTTGAGATAAAATTGTCAAGCATTGGAATTAATTAGGAGTTTCTTGTTAATGATAATTTTTACTAATATTTTCTACAATTTATTTTTGTCTGAGCTGTTCAAAGACTAAGTAATAATAAATTATTTTAGAAATTTAAATAATAATACTTTTGAAAACAACCAAATTGCGTGTCAAGAATAGTACATATTTCAGCAACCATATAATAATCTCAGCAAGTTTTGATGTTGAGCTAAGTTTTCTAGCGGATAAATATAATTAGAAAGTTGCAGGTACAGTTATTAAATAATATAAAAGTTTTTAATTAGAAAAAAAAATGGGTTTAACATATGTAAGCCTCGCAGCCGTGTTCAGTATTATTTTGAAAACTATAATATATATAAATAAATTTATTGTACAATAAAAGTTTAAAACTTTTTTGTAATCTCAATGCAAAACAAGAACGCTAACTTCGGTTGCATCGAAACTATACAACCTTCACAAATACAAAAGATTCCTTAGAAGAACTTATTTTTGAGCGGCCAGTTTGTATGGGAGCTATATGTTATGGTAATAAGATCAGAAAAATTTCTGTTCAGAGTATAATAAGACACTTTGTCTTTGTGTTTGTTTGTGTAAAAAATTTAAAAAAGTATTTGTGTTTTTAACATATTCATGGTAAGCAATATTGAAAACTATTTTATCATATCTGAAAATTTATCGTCAGCAAATGATAGGTACCTCCAACTCTCGTACTTGTACGGTATTTTTTTTTTCGTCAGTCTAATTGATCTTGTGTCAATTTTCGCGAATGATAAGTAAAATATTACATCGAAGGGTTGTCTATATTATTTTACAACTTGTAGTTGCCAAATTAATTAGAACGTCTTGCACCTGCCCAAAATAAAATTGATAATGATTGATAAATAACTTATTTACAAACTTATTAACAATTCAAGAATTATAAAATGCTATATATCGGAAATTCACTCAAAGATGATTGATTGAATTTAGAAATTGTACAATTTTAGAATTGATTATGTTATTTTTATTATTATATAATCATTAACGCAGCACTCAAATATTTTTTGAAATATTTCGTAAAATGTATTTAAACATTGCTCAATAGGATGATTTTTAAATTTATGGTATTTGTTTCAAAAACTTGTTTTCAATGAATTAAGTAAACGGTAAATGATTCTACTATTTTCTTTCAAGTTAACAAAAACCAAAATAAATAAATGCAAATAAAATATTTTTACTTAAATTATTTGTGTAATTTATATTTTCAATTAAGTAAAACATGAAATATAAAAATATTTATTTTTAAATTCACACAAAAATTACTAAATAGTTGAAGATCAAGACAAAGAAAATAAAAAAAAGTATTTTAAATCAAACTATAATTTTGTTTCCTTTTCACTATATATAAAATTTATAGCATTTAGTAAAAAAAAATGTATTAAAAAAAAAAATACCTGTTACAGCTAAATTCTTCAAAATCGCACAAATAATATATTATTAATATATTGAAAAAAGTATTAACTCAACCAGGGTGGCAAATGTTTCTTCTAAGAACTTTGAATTGAAAATCTAATTTTTAATCGCAACTCTTGAATTAAAAATTAATTTTTAATTAAATTAAATTGAATTTATTTTAAAACTTTTAATATTAATTTAATTTTAAGAGGTTCGAGAGAATATTAAAGATTTAAATTTTCAATTTTTAATTTAAAATTTGATTTTTAATCCTAAAATCAGAATAAAAATTTGTTAAAATATAAATCGTTTGAGTGTGTAATTTTGGTGACAAGTAGAGCATTGAAGATAATGGCTCTGTGCGAGCTTTAGTTCAAAACGCTAAAACACGAAGTCCGCAAACGCGAAACAATTAAAATTCTACAATATTTTTTTAAAATTATTTTTTGCGAATTAAATTTTTTTTATATATTTTTTTTATTTTTTAATTCGGCATTTGGTATTAAAATTAAAAATTAATTCTCTTTTATTGAAAATAAACTTTTAATCCAGTTTTTGAATTAGACATTTTTTTAAAATTTTTCAAAACCGTATTTGGGATTAAAAACTAAAAATTATTTGTTTAATATTTGGTATTTCAATATAAAAAAAAAATTTCAAATTTTAGTTAAATTCTGTTTTTAATGTATTATTTGCAACCCTGATTGCAACACAAACAACCTGGTCGTCATACCCTTTAATAAAAAAATGTTTTTTTCTTTAGCACAAATACAACTTTTTGCCAATTGCTTTAGTTTAACATATACTATACAATATTTATATTTTAGCAATCAAACAAACGGAATATTTTCACACAAAGTTTTAAAAAATACTTCCAGATAGTTCAATATAATATATTTGCTCACAAAATATTTCTAAACTATATTCTTTGAACTCGCACAAAAATTTAAAAAGCTTTTATTTTGAAGTGAAATTATTCTCAGAATTAAAAAATAATAATTATTTTGAACTAAAATTACCCTCAGAAATGCGGTCCGCTGAGAATGTCATTTCGGTATTTTCTTGGAAAACTTTCTTTTCGCGCTGCTCGTATGAGATTTGCACTTGTGTTGTATTGTCTTCTTGTGGAGGAGACTGCAGATCTACCGACGCCATGCAACTAAATATCACTACAGTATCACCCGAGCTAAGCACTTAAGAAGAGATTTCACTTGAGATCGTGTGTTTTTTCGCTGATAATTGAAGATATGCAGCCGGGCAATGAATGAGTTGTCAAGTAAGGAAATCAAAACGAGTAAAAGTGATAATGATGTTGCCACCGACGACGCCGAAGTGCGAACTGAATGCTTTACGCGAGCGTAACCGCTTTTCTATCACCGTAAACAAATACGATACGTTTTTTTCGGATTTAGCGGTGCGAAATTTATCAACGTTTCTGCTAGTCGTACTAACTATTGTCTTTATTTATTTTGACGAGTTATTTTGATTTACTCCACAAGTAGCAATTAATAAGTAACAGCGAACAGATGACAATACACGCGAGTGACGGCGAATTATAGCAAAATTTAAAACACAACAACAGTTATTAAGTGAAGTTGTATTGTTAATTAATCGCTATAATTGTCGATTTAATGACAAAGGTAAATAAAACACTGGCGCGTAATATTCAATTATATATTAAATAATGTGGAATATTTCCCGCTAATCGCTTATAGAATATGTCGTCGGCGATTTTTCAACAATATAATATTATCCCTCGAATTTTTCTCGTTGTGCTTTGCAGTGCAGTGGCGACAAGTGCGCTTGCTTGACAGTCGAGTTTTGAACTGAAGCGTATGGCCAGCGTGCGATCGCTTTTTTTCGGCGGGGGTGGCTCAGCTTTACTGTTAAATTTCACTGTCTTTACTGCTGCTAAAGTTGGCGGGGTGCTGGGTGTTAGGGTGGCGCTCATTAGGGCTGTGGCTATGACTGTGTAAGGCGCACCTGAGCGAGCGCCAAGAATCAAAATGAAAATGATAAAAGCAAAAACAGCAATGATAGTGGTGGGGTAGCGTGTGAATATCAGTGCGAGTTATCTGCGGAAGATATGACAAAATATGGGCATGAACAGATTACGTATACGCGCCACGTAATGATAATAATGTTGGGATAGTCGTCGAAGGGCGCGTGACGTGGTGGGTGAGAGAGTGGGGTAATGTATTTCTTGAGTGCCACTACATTTGAGTAGTGCATTGTGTTATCAGTCTTCAATGTAACTCGTTGCTGAGTAGTTGACATGCATTTACAGAAGAGCGTAAATATTTATCAATTTCAGAAGGTGTTGTGAATTATAGTTATCTTTAAGTATTTACAAATATATGAATAAAACTAAAGAAATATATATATTTTATTGTTATCATTATTCTAACCTTACTAACATAGTAAAAATCTAAAAATAAAATAAAATTGAGCGTGCGTATTTGGACACGAGTTGAGAAAGCATCTGGTAGACAATTAATTAGATATAATGTAAAAAATTTACTTTTTAATATTTAATTTCTTGATAAGAAATAAATCCCTTCCAACCACCATTTGCGGATATCGTATGTACTTTTCAATCGTTTTTTATTTTATTTGTGCTCGCTCTTTCACCATGATGGCGTTGTCAACACTCGGAATGTGTTAACAGCTGTCAAAATTAATGATACCGCTACGTTAGCGCGAGACTGTTGGCTATTATATAGTGCTTGATGACTTCCGAAAGTGTTGAAAAGCATCATAAATGAAAAAGTGCATTCAGGCTACATAATTTATAGTATTCAGTAAAACGTATACGTTTAATGGTTGTAGTAATACATTATTGGGAAAATAATGGATCGACATATTTGTATTTGTGAATAATTTTTGAAAAATTAACAAATAAAATTTATGATGAGAAGTTTTCCATACAGAGGACTTGATTTGGATCGGTTCAGTTTGTATGACAGCTATATCATATACTTTGGACCAGTATATGATATATATATGTCAGTGGTTTCAACAAATGAACAGCTTCTTCGAGAGAAAAGTACGTGTGCAAAATTTCAAAACGATAATTAAAAAACTGAGAGACTTGTAGACTAGTTCGGGTATATACAGAAGTCGGACAAGTAGACAAACGAATATGACTAAATCGACTAACCTAATGAGCTGGCCAAAAGTGTCGTACTGAATCAGCACAGAAAACACGCAAGTGGCTAAAAACGAAACACAATAAAATTACTGAAAGAGCTAACAGACCGATCAGGGTTAGATCAAATATCTTATGGACTTGCAGCATCGCCAAGATCATGTGCCAGGGCACCAAGGAAAAAAACACATGCGGTCTACTCAAACGGGCTCGAAAAGACTGCAGGACGGATGTTGGCCTATTGACAGGTCACAATTTACTGTCATCACATGTTAACCAGATAAGTAACGATGACACATGCAGAAACTGCAGCGATGTAGGCATAAGAGAGATGGTGCAACACCTCCTTTGTTTCTTTGAGACCTTATCGAGAATTCGTCTTAGATATATAGGAGTTCAAGGGACTAGATGAATTATCAAAATTATATATTAAGTCTCTCTAAGAATTCGCAAAAATCGTTGAGGTTCTGTACGACGCATACTTCAGCTCTAACCAAAATGAAACTCCATCTGGTATTACAAAGGACCAAGAGTTCTATGTATGGTGTGACGGCCAGCCAATATAAAATAACTTAACCTTATTTTAGAACGGGTTGGTTACTTATACATGCAATTTAAATAATAATGAAATTTAAATTTGGATTAATAAAAAAAAAATTTAAGCAAAAAATGCTCTCCCTTTTTTCGCTTATGACGTCACGAACTAATGTATAAAGCTGTCAAACGCACTCGAAAAGAAGTAAAGATACGAAAATATCACAAAACTGTCAAGATCTTTACTGCTATCATTCTCAAAGGATACTCAATGCACATAAAAACAATTTCGAAGGAATAATCAAGTTAAAAAAAAATCAAAATTTATAAAACGAATATTTCAAATACTAAATATGTCAATTTGACAGTACATTATTCGCAGCAGAATGACGGCAGCGACTAATGCACATTTTAATATTTTATCGAAATGCAAATATCAAATGTTAGACGTCATTATAAGTTTGAACAAAAAAATATAACAAACAGCGATATGCATACAAAACAATAAGACATAACAACATTGCTCCAAAAAATTTGCAAAAACTTTTGTATGCTTACGACAGTTTGATGACGACGCTGACAATTTTTAATTTAATTTGAGTCACGTTTTGTTATTAAGCACAAAGCGCATGCGATTTTTATGACCCACCTCCCCTACACTCTTCACAGTATTTATGTTGAATTATTTCGCTAAATAATTTCAACAGGTTATTACTTTTTTGACGGGGGCGTGTAATCACATTGTTATCGAAAATCGCAATTTAAAAAGGTACTTTTTGACATATTAGCTAAATGTGCTTTAAATTACCGGCTCCAAAATTGTATATATTACTGTCTTGAATTAATTGTATTAATATTGACATTTATGTAGGTTTATTGACCGTTAAATCCAGACATGTTAAACAACTGATGAATTTGTTAAGCTGTAATGAATTTATAATTTGTTTTTTTTTTTCGTTTTGATAAATCTCTGGAAGTAAAATGCTTAAATATATAAATTTTTACTTTACATGCACTTTTTTGAAACCGAGGTCAATGTTGACTCTCTTTTTTTAGCTGTGATGGACGAATGTGTATTTTATAGCCGATTCCATCCTACATCATGAAATTGGCTGACGACTTGATTACGTCTCGCAGAGTTAGTTATGACTACAAAAATTATGTTACAGCATCTGCCGAGATTTTTTATCAAAGAATCGATTCTCATTAATCTCTTTTTGTGGCACATTTACATACAAACTGCCAGTGTCAAGAGTCAGATTCATTGAAAACTATATCGCTAAGTTCTGGTCACGTGTAATATTTTCTGAAGGATATTTCTCATTTAGCAGAAATTTATTTGATCGTGACTGTCAACCAGTGGCCGAAGCCTGTGTAGACTGAAACGTACTCGTGTTCGCTCAACGTTCGCTGAGCCGATTCAACACCACCTGATGAAAGCAGATGTGAAACTACGCAATAGTTCTCTTATTATAGATCAAACATTTTTTTTAAGCGTAGTTCTAGCATAAAGGTTTAATTTGTTTCTTTAACATATTGCTTTTGGGATCTTCGGAAGGAGATCTTTCTTATACGTGTATGGAGGGGGATGTGTACGAAGAGCTAAAAACTTATGCTTAGTTTAAACATATAATAACGACCTTTTATGATATTGATCTTAAATTTAAAGATTTTGAAATATGAACGATGAGTCCTCCAAAAGTAGTTTACAACAAAATGTAGTAATGAAACCCAAATGAAAAGATTTACCACATATTTTTGTTGGCAGGTGGTCTTTTCGAAACAAAGTAAATTTCTTATACTTTTTAATTTATAATATTATGGAAGAAATTGGCATAGTGGTATTATACTCAGAAGGTCAAAAAGTTTCAGGTATTTCTCAAATTATTTTTCGCTTAAAATTAAACTTTAAAACTGAGAGTTTATATTTATCACCAGCTATCAGAATTTCGAAAATGTATTCCATAAATTTTGAAGTGTTTAAGGTACCAAAAATATGTCATTCGTAATAGTTCAATAATTTTTGGTAGCTAACAATCGTACAATATATATACTCGCATATATACAAACATTCGGTTATCGTTTTTTTTCGAATTCCTTAAAATCACAATTATTTATGTATTCAATAAAAATTGGCCGTCATATATGATTATTTGGGTTGCAATTGAACCCGCAAAGACCGAGTATCAGTGAAATACTCGTGTACACATGAACATTATCGAACGCTTAGGTGATAATACGTAATGGGGTACTAAGTAATTAAGGTATTAGCGGTGAGTTGAGAAATTAGTTGGCGATAAAAATAGAATAACAGCGAATATTTTTTTGTTTTTTCTTTATGACAATGTTTCATTTTTTAACGACAACGAACGATAACGGTAAATGCCAGACAGTAAGGAAGTGAAGTGAAAATAAATTTAAATAGATGAGTCCGAATATGTGTGAGACGAAATATGGTTTTAAAAAAGGTCAAAATCATAAACACGAAAAGTATAACAAAAAATATATAAGAGTAAAAGAAACATTAAAAACTGTAGTGCACACAAATTTTGTTGTAACTTTTTTTCGTAATTTTTGCAAAACACAAAAAAATCGCTCATTTGCGCCAATTCAAACGTGACTGCGAGTAAAATAACTCACATTAAGGCACTATAGGGGGCTTTAAAGGAGAGACGGACGCTTAATGGCTTGTTGTTGAAATATGCCATTGTTGCCACGAACTGGCAATTAGAATGCGGCAGCCAATAGTAGTTAGTTAATTTACAATATATTGCAACAATAACAATGTATCTCTGTGAGTATCTGTGAGGTGTATATATATGGTAGATTAAATCAAATTATTTATCACCTTAGCGGTGAGCATTGTGTTGCGCCAGCATGTGGTTGGCAGTTGCCACAAAACGCGGCAATTGCGGTAGCTATCAATGGTCGTTACAACAACAACAATAACAGCGATAATAGCGATAATGCAAATTTTACAACAGTTGGCATTTGTTGTGTCGGTTGAAGTTCAAGTCGTCACCTTGTTGTACGTCGACTTGACGGTCACACTGTTGATTGCTTATTTGTTGTGTGTGCCACGAGATGGTGGCGAGGCGCTAAGCTGTGTGCGGTGTCAGTTACGCTACCGGCTTACAGCTTGCACGACTGCACTAGCGGTTACAATGAACTTGA